CGTGTATGTGGAATGCTCATTTGTGAAAAGAAGCAATCAGCAAACTAACTGTAGAGTCCCCCTCTCTCAATATACTACTCAAAAATTTTACTGTTCTGGACACTTATCTGTTTTAATTAGGGGCAGTTAGGGGGCAACTTATGGATCATGTGTTACCTTTATTTGTTTACTTGTGGGTAAGGAAATAAATGAAGCAGAGCAATTGTATCAAGGGAATTATAATGAGTGAAACATTAAAATAATAATAAAAATAGTGTGTATCTACCACGGGATTGAAAATCTAGGATAAGCAATCTTGCAAGCAGGGCCATGAGAATAATTAGCCTTCATGGCCAAACGCACTAGTAGTCCATGGGAAAATAGCCTGTTTTTAGTATTATTTGACAACATTCAATGTAGTACCATCACAGATACTTACCAATCCTGAAATATTAAGGGCCAGTTTCTTGCTTTGGTTGTGATTAATGTCTTGGAAGAATGATTTGGGAGCCTCCAGTTTTCATCTATGATTCCTATCAGTCTTAAGGCTGCTCTGGGAGAATGCTATTGATAAAGTGTCTGAGCCTCTAGTATCTTTAAAATGACAAAGTCCTTATGGACTTTTGGAAACAAGATCACATTTTAGGTATTTTCAGTTAAGTATGGAGCTGTTGATTGCAGTGGGATGAAGTAAGAAAGAAAGCGAATCACACGGTCATTAAGTGAATCCAGCTTCCTCCATTGAATTTGCTTGTTGGAAGCTCCCTAGAAAAGTCACAAATGGTGATCACATGACCCGGGATGCTGCAACCATCATAAATATCAGTTGCCAAGCACCTGAATTTTGATCACATGACCGTGGGGATGTTGCAACGGTCATAAGTGTTAGGACTGGTCACTTTTAGCACTGTTATAACTCTGAACAGTCTTTAAATGAATGGTCATAAATCAAGGACTACCTGTAAGTTCTTTATAAATAGTAATTTCAATCCACTTTCACTATCCTTAAATTGAGAGGGGCTGCTGTAATAGCTTGGGATATAGAGACTGGATTTTCATCCTTTTTTAAGGATTCCTGGAGTGATCAATAGCCAAACTCTCTTCCTCCTGTGACTATTTTTAAGGAAAGAGGTAATTTCCAGGGTTTTGCTTTTCTTTAGTTTAATTACTTAATCAGAATGATAATTGTTTTCTGCTACAGTTCAGATTATTATACTGTCTAGCAAATTCAGCATCTTTTATTTCTACTCCTTTTTAAAAAATAAACAGCTTTCTCACCTTCTCACCCTTATTCTTGCTTTTCCCACCTTTTTGTGTACTTGATGCCTGATGGCTTTGATCATTTTCGAACCATCAAATACTGCAGGGCATCAGGATAGGAATGTTGCATTCAACTAAAAGCCTAGTTTACTAAGAACTAGTTCACACATCGTTCTTAACTCAGTAAGCTATTAACTCAGTCATAGTTCCTAGCTACTGGATCTGGTACCAGATCAAGGAACATTTTGGGGAATCCTGAATCCTGAACATTTCTCTCAGTCCTGCCCTACATCCCATAAGCCTGTAGGCTAGGAGAGAATCAGCAAGGTTTTCACATTTGCTGGGTAGGCAGATAGCTTTTGATGTGGTTTGGGCTCTGCAACAATTCAGTGTTTGGGTGGCACAGGAGATATATCCTGAAGCTTCCAATTTTTGGCACTGAATTTCATAATGATGCACGTACTTTTTCAGCCACTCTAGAACTTCATCTTGGAGGATGGACTGGGTTTGGGTTAAAATTGCCCCCATCCTCCCCCAGGACTAACTAGATTAATGAGTTAACACAACATGCTGCCCTCAACATTGATCTAATTGCAAATCATGTTGTGTGTACCAGATTAGAATATCAGAATTGAAGAAGCATTTACAGTGTAGAAATCTGGATTAAAAGGCAAGAAAATGTGCATCTGAGTAATGTCAGAAATCTCTGCATTTCTTTACCCCAAACCTCTAATCTTAGCTTGGTTATTCAGCATTTTTTCTTTTAAGAATCAAAGCTGCAATGATTACAGAGCTGTAATTTTAGTTCAATAATATGGCAGTGGGCCATCTCGTCAGATCAGCTTATCATCAGCGCCTATTGCTGTTCTGTAGTTCTATTTCATAAGGGATAATTATGATGAATTTCAATAGCATATGAAGTAAACAGTCCTTTCCTGGAAATAGATAAGGAGGGGAGATGATAATTATTTTTCTCTTTTTAACTGCAGTGAGCCTTAGTCCCATAGCCTGCAATCATTTCTTATTCAGGCGGTGAATATAAGACAGTCCCTTGCTGGATCAGACCAAAGTTCCCCTAGTACATCACCCTCTTTCTCAGAAGGTTTAGGATTCTATCCTTGTTTCCTCATAAGAATGCTATACAGCTAGGCCACTTGAAGCCTCCCAAGGGCACCCAACTATGTGGGAATTGTGATCACTTACAGCCTCAGGCAATCTCAGTCATGGAACGTGGAAGTTCTGCAATATGCACCTCTTCCATGAATTGATGTAATCTCTTATAAATGGTGTCTAAAGATAAAATTGCATGGCATATTACTCATATGGAGAGGAGGGGTTTCAAATTAGCATCCAGAGCATTATTTTAACAAGTTATTTGATCCTGTGGAAGTGAATTCTTAGGAATCAGTTTTGTATTGTTTAAAAAGTATTCCTGTTTTTTTGTTTTGTTTTGTTTTGTTTTGTTTTATTGTCATGAATCTGCTGGCACTCATCTAACTGGTAGACCCTCATCTTATGGGAGAAAAATTATCTCTTCCCATTTTATTAACAACATCTATAATTTCGTTTATTTCTCTGATAATCTAAGATGAACTTTCATAAAGTGGCATGCTTCAGACATATTGGGATTATGATTCCTAAAATTTTCAGCCAACATCAGAAGGGAAATTAGGGGATACTGTGGTCTCAGAATTTCTGGATATTTGGAAGGTTGATCCCATCTAAAAAACTCTTTCTCTTAAGGAAGCTGTTGAAATTCTCCTGATCATTTTGTTTCCTTTTTCCTTTTTTCCCCATTTGTTACAATGCTTTTTTTGAGATGGCATGAAGAGAATTATCCCCAGGTTACAAGCAAAACTATATCAAGGATTAATGCAGAAACATTATGACACTGTCTGTCTTATGGAGGTACCTGAGCCACATCTTAGCTTGGTTAACTGGGAGGAGTTTGAACCAGTCAATCCTGAGGAAGTGGACAGGGTCCTTGTTGCTGAGTTCTGCCATCTATATTCTGGACTCATACCCCTCCTGGTTGGTTAATCTGTAGCACATGCATGCCCGCAGCACCCCTGCAGCCCTCACTGGCCCACCCATGCTCCCTGGCGCCTGCCCAAAGCCCCTGCCAGCCCACCCACATTCCCTAGTGTCTGCCCATGGCTCCCACCCACCCACACTCCCTAGTGCCTGTCCGTGATACCTCCCGTGGCACCTGTGCACTCCCTAGCACCTGCCCATGGCATATCTGAAGCACCTCTGTGCCCTCTCACACTCCCTAGCACTTGCCCGCAGCACCTGCACACACTGCCTGCACTCCTTGCCTGGAACTCCCACCTCTTCCCACTTAACAGCCTGTGCAATCCTGGGATTATGAAGGCAACTGCCAGGATTGCTGTCAGTAAACGATGCAGTCATGTGACATCATGCTTTACAACCGCATCACTTAGCAATGAAAATTCCGGTCCCAGTTGCTGTTGTAACCTGAAGAGTACTGATGCAATGCCCATTATTTTAGGGATGTCCAAATGGAAATTTGGTACATTGCATACAAAGTTGCTCAAAGTTTCAGTATATTCCCTTTTCTTTTTATCAAACTGTGACTGTTAAATTTACACTAGGTTTCCTATACTAAGTTTCTCTCCATATTGTGGACCCAGATGTTTTGATTATTTTCTTAATGACCAGTCATTTTATTTACTCCAGTTAGCTGGTTTAGCTCAAATCAGTTGCTGCTTCTGGATCAGATGTACTCTTTTTTGTATTTCCCAGTACAATCAACATTTCTTTTAAAGTTAGTTGTCATAGATCCTTGGCAACATACTGTTGGAAGATAATAATGTTTATCTGATTCCTGTAACAAAAGGAGATGTCTTTTTGTGTTCTTATACTGTACAGTCATGATAACTTACAGGGATCCTCTCTAACTGCCAATCAGTGCATTCTCCATTCTTTATCAGAGGAAAGATGCTTTTACAATATGAGGGAAACTGTTCATGAAGCAGTTTACCAGACATGATTCTCCTTCTAGGACTGTGGGTTGCAGAACTGAATCCAGGTCTCTACTGATCCCTGGCAATATCAACCTTGCTGGCTGGGCAAACAGTTGGTAGATCTACGTACATATAATACTGTGGTAGGCAATTTCTGAAGTGTCAGGGGATGCAGCTCAGCCTCCTGAATTTCTGCAGGCCATTTAATGTTGTACTTCACTGGAAAGGTTGCAACTGGATTTTTTTTTTAGTATTTTTGGAGGAGCTTTAAGTGTAGGAATGAAAGTGGGAGGTCTGTATGAGCAAATCACTACTGTTCCCTCAAAACCTAAAAAATGCCTCTAAAGCACACTATTGAACTTCAGTCCAATTTCAGCAGCACCGTTTTGGGATGCTGGAGTGGAGGGCACAATGGGAGATAGGGGTCACAGGTTGCCCACCCCAATTTAAGGGATGGATCAGGGTGGGTCAGCCTTGAGTAAACCAGGAAGACATTATGCTATTGTTCTTACTCGTGTAGGTGAGTGACCCCAGAAGCATAGCTTAATATAACGTATAGCACATGGTAAATGGAGTATAGCCTTTCTTAACTTGGTGGCTGCCAAATATGATGGACTTCAATTCCCATAGGCCATGCACAGGGTGCCGTGTTGGGGAAAACTGTAACAGAATATAATTTTTGTGGGTCTGTTGGATTTCATACGTAAGCCTGAGGAGAGCAAAATACGAGCGGCTTTTGATGGGGCAACTTGCTTTTCCTTTTCCCGCTTACAGTTGGCCACGGGCAGAGCGAGGGAGACCGTATGGTTGCGTCCGACTTCCGTGTGTTTGTCAGAGACAGCTTGCAGCACATCGATCTCGTGAAGGAGGAACATCCAGGTGTCCCTGTGTTTCTTCTGGGGCACTCCATGGTAAGCCCACCGTCCTCTCCTTCCGCACAGGGCAGCGGATGCTGTTTGTTTGGGGTTAGGCTCCTGAACCCTAACAATCAACACTGATGCCAGGACTTCTTTTTTCATCGTAGCCTTTTCTGTTTTCTTCCTCTTCCTCTTCTTCTTTTCTTTTCACAAAAAGCAGTGGCTGTGCCATTGGAGCTCTTTGTGAATAGCTGCCCAACGAAATGTAAACTCTACAATTGCTGGTTCTAATGGGAAATAACAAGTGTACACACCATTCCCAAGTCTTATTTTCACTGAGTATTGAAGAGCTATCAAGCTGGAATTTCTAGAAACGCAAGTGAAAAAAATACCCCTCTTATTTATCCCCAAAAGGAATAATGTCATCTGTATGTATGTATCTATGTACATATGAGAGAGGTAAAACACAAAATGTTTTGGAGATTCTCTAATGCTCTAATAGACCTTGCATGGATTGTTCTTCTCATATTCCCAAATCATAAACAAGCCAAGAGTTTGTTCTTTTTCACACGAAAACATGCAGACACATACATAATAGATTGTGTTGTCTTTCCCCTTATTCGTGTTGGTTAAAACATTTCTATACTAGTTAAGGACCATATTCAGTTTAAGAATTAATTCCCCCATTTTCTGAGATTCTCAAGCATTGTGAAAGAGAAGGATGAATATGTCATTGGAATGCATTTTTGCAGTGAGAAGAAAGGGAAAGGAAAAGAAATGTGCAAGATATAAGGCAAAAATGAACTTTTGGGTTGGGAGCCACAACTCAGCTTCCCAATTTTCCACAGGCTGCAGAAGATCTTCTGATGATGACAAAGTCACAAGAAGGGGCAGGGCCAAAATCCCCAGTTCATTGGGGAGGGGGGTTGGGTGGGAATAGGATATTTTGCATCATGGCGCCTTGTACTCCCATTCACCCTTACAATCACTGGACATTCAAAAACTTGGAGAAAAATCACTTTATTAGAAATCAGCCATTTTTCTACCAAATTTCAGCAGGGCAATTTCAGGATGTTCCAATAGCCACAGATGGTTTGCCTGCCCAAACCAAGGCTATAACTAAAAGAAAAGTAAAAATTTGACAGACCAAAGAGAGATGTTTTCAGAGGGAGGAGCACTAATGCTATCAATCAAAAAGCACAGTGCAGCTAATCCACCCTTTTTTCTTGAACAGATTTTGTGTGCAATGGAAATACAGTAGATGAAAGAATAGGTGGACAATTCAACAAGGATAATGCCTAGAGGTATATCAAGAACTGGTGTGGACGTTGAGCAGGCTTGTGGTATGGGAATGGATACACCATTACTCATCAACTCTGAAACTTTTAATAGAAGAATAAATCATGTAAAATAAGTAAATGTATCCCAAAAGTGATGGTTTACTCATAACAACAGATTTAATATTCCTTGATGTAGACTTTGTGCTACCTTAGAGTAGAATTGTTATTGATTTTTACCACACAGAATGCACAGCCCAATCATAGCTTGCTCTCAACATTTTAAGATATTTAAGATAAGGTTAAGAAGACTCAGGGATGAAAATACAAAAGGCTGCTTGTGTGAGTCAATCGCCAAGCACGTCAAAGGCATTGTTTATTAGCTCTGAACTTTAATACAACTGTAGAGTGTGTCAATGATAGCTTGCACTATGGAGATACAGTGTATGCGTATTCATTTCTATGCCCAATCCTAAGGACTGTTTTAGTTATCTGCAGAATTCGGATTTTTGACGGAAAAAAGGCCATTGAAAGCTAGGCAAGAGATTGCTATTTCTGTTACCTTGCAGTATAATTGCTCTTGCACGGGCACTTAAGAAAGAACAGGAAACCCTCTGACGCACTACAGAAATTTCAGTGGCAGACACACCCGCATCTGTAGTTGATAATAAGTTCACGTTACTGTATTCGTTAATAACGTTGGTTCAATTATCTACTTCCCATGTATGTATTCTCCTATTTTCTAGTATACAACCAAGGCATTAGCTATCACTACATCCCATGGCAACATGCATCAGAGGCAAATGGTACACTGTAGGAAATTATATTACTTCTTTTGAAGTTACATATTAGTGCATTTTCATTGTATTAGAAGAAAGCTGTGCAACTAACGGAGTTTGAAACATCAATTCTGTAATTCTAAAACTTAGCCCATTTTTGCTCTGAATTCAAGTCCAAATCAAAATTGAAGTTTCTGAATATGCTCAGGATCACTTTGCATATGCTCAGGTTAATCATTTACAGTTCAGATATGCTTTTTTAAGAAGCTCTCTTCTTTTCAAAAATAGCTCTTGGTTTGTGAAAGAGCATTGGATAATAGTGATGGGGAAATGCATGGAAATAATTTAACTTCTTTGCTGAGTATCTTCAAAGAAATCTCAAAACAAAAGAAATGGGCTTTGAAACAAAGTTAAGGGGAGTATAGCCATCTCTAATCAGAAGTTAACGAGATGATGTCCAATTTGAAGTTCACGGTAAACCTTTAAAACTAATAGATGGTAGCAGTAAGCTGAAATTGAAGTTATCCAAACAGTCCTCATATTCATACACACATAAACACAATTTATTCCTGCAAGTAAACAGAATGATGTATCTTTAATACTGTTCTCCAAGGATTTCCCATGGCAACTAATTGTGAATCATACTGAACTTTCCTGCTTACTGAGGCTTGAGATGCACCAACTTTTGGCTTGAAGAGGGAGCATTTTAGCTTGCAGTCCAAAACAGGCTTGGCATTCAGTTAATTTTTTAAAAATGACTAGTCAGATAATACCAAATAATAGTCAATTATTTAAAGTATTAATTGATTAGAATAAAGAATAGGGAAACTTGCATTAATTAAAAAGAAAATTGGCTCTAGAAAGTTTCAGAGTTCAGTCTCATCCAGACTCTGTAAAGAACACCATGCAGCTTACACAAAGGTGCATCATTGTGAGTTGTGCCATCCAGGAGACAACTCACCTACACTGGTTTCCTGCTTTCATCTCAGCTCTGTGTTCCTATTCAGAGATGCTAGAAATAACTAGGCCTGATGCTCACCATGACATGTTCAGTGAAACAATCCTAAATGCTAGTCATGTCCCAGCACCAGGACATGTGCTAGTCCATATAGTTTTAGGAACAGAAATCCCAGTTGGGCAATCAGAATTCCCACTCACATAGGAAAGCCCTATATATACCCATACCATAAGCATCTGCCTAGGCTCCTTTTCAGACAAAGTCTGGGAGTACTGCATATAGCCAGCATTCTTGTTGGCCCTGTTCTCACGTACATTCATTGAACATAAAAAGAGGCTGCTATGACTGGCCCCCAAATTGTCTCTTGATTGCTCCACTTTAGATGGTAGGAGTCACACTGGTCACAAAATTGAGTGCCATTCCATACAAAACTTTCCCTGTATAAAACTACAATAGGAAGATGTTTGGTTTAACTCTATCTGACAGAGTAAGGTTTTCTGTAGGAGGGGACTATTTCTTTATGGAAATAAAATACAGTCTTGACATTTTGAATATAGTATAATTCAGAAGCAGTGTGGTAATCTCTTTTGCTGCTTTAAGCAATAGTAGAGGGATTGGGAATCTGGTGCCCTCCAAACTGTTTGAACAATGACTGCCATAATCCTTGACCATTAGCCATGCTGTCTGAGGCTTATGGGAGTTGTAATCCAACATCTCTAGCATTAGGATTTTACTTGGGGCATAGAAGGCAGAAGATGCCTGGATATTCTCTTAAATGATAAATGCCCTTGAGTTGCTGATATTCTGCTATTAATGTCAGATGACTGCTGTATCTCAGTAAAAGCATTGAGGCACTATTGATTTCCAGCAAACAGCTCCATGGTTCTAGGGAAAGGAAGGAAAACCTTACTCTTGGAGACACACTTTTTAATACTATCTTTTCATTCCATTGCAGAGGCATTGGCAGTGACATGCGATCATTAGAGTAGGCAGAACCAAAGATTTTCATCCTGTTTGGGGGAGGTTTAAGGGGACTGAGGTATTTGTTTCTCTCATTTAAATCCCCCCCAAAACAGGAAAAATCAGTCCAGTTTGGGGAGACGTTAGTCAGGGTTTATAAGAGGTGAAAGGTATGCCTTAAAACTCGTTTGCTTCTTACATCCAGCCAGATTATCCAAAACTGCAAAAAATGGCCCTCCAATTATTCTCTTTGGTAAGAAAAAATAAAACATTCTTTGTCATTCTTTGTTTTAAATCATACATTTTTGAATGTAAGCACATATTGATTAATCTAACTTCAGGACACAGTTCTGTAACTTTGACTTTCCTTTTGGCTTCTGTTTCATCCTGACAGCCTTGGCCAGACTGTTTATTTGCCATTCCCTTCTTTCTAGTTGCATCATTCCTTAACTCATTGTGTGCCTCTTGACCTCTTGCTGTTTCCTGCTCCTTCTCTTCCATTTCTGGGCCTTTATGGACATGCTGAGAGCCTCTGAACAAACACGGACTTTCCTCTTACATTTTTTAAAAAAATCTGATTATAGTTTAGGGAGCAAGGAAAGTGACTTACAATTCCATTTTTGCATTTTTGTTTTTCCTTGTAAAGTTCCTGTAATCAATATGAGTTTAAATGAAAAAGAACATGCTTTATCTAGCACCTAATAGCTACATTGTGATTCCTCGGATGATTTCTTTTGCGCAATTGTATTTCTGAGTATTCCAGTGTTGTGTGATTCCTAGAAGCAGTATTAAAACACCTTTTGAAGCACTGCCACGAAGGCTCTGCTGCATCTGGTAGGTGAATTGCACAACTGATGTACACTTGCATTCATTATATAAATTCTGAAATTATCTCCTCCATAGTTGCTATGAAGTTTTTTGTTTGTTTGATTGATTTTTGAAGTTGCTGGTTGAAATCAGTGGTGCATGATAATGGAACTTGACTTAAATTTGTCTTTTTCTGGGTGCAGAAGGAAATTGAAGCCCATAGCTGCCACTTAGTTTGTAGCTCATTCCCGGGGTAAATGGGCAAGGTTCCCAAGGCAGTGACCTTGTTACTGTACCTGCCCATAAAGTGCTTGTCATATCTTTTTGTTTTATGATTGGGGTGGGCAACCTGTGGCATTTTAGGGATTTCTAAATTCTAACTCAGTTGCCACTCCAGCTAGCATGTCAATGGTAAGACATACTGGGAGGTATAGTATTGCTCAGACTTCCCACCCCTGCTGTACTGAGATCAATAGTCTTAGCAATCATCAACCCATTGCTTGCTTTTTCATTTCAGGGAGGAGCCATTGCCATCCTCACCGCGTGTGAAAGACCAAATGACTTTTCAGGCATGGTATTAATTTCTCCTTTAGTAGTTGCAAGCCCTGATGTAGCGACACCGATCAAGGTAAAAAAAAAAAAAAAGGTGTTCATTTAATTTCAGGCACACTTATCTAAATGTCAGTTAAACATCTTATTATCTTAAGGTAATGGCCCTTTCTTTCACCAGCCTTTCCTCTCCATGTGTGGATCTGCATTAAAAATAAATGAAGTTAAGGCTCTTCACAAAACTGAATGTAAGAAGGCTTGTGGTCAGTGCAAAAGCTGAAGGATTACATACATGTTACATATAAATGAGGACGTCCATCTTCTTTTTCTCACAAAAAGCAGCACCGAAAGGCTGCACTTTAGAGGAAGAACCTTGCCCTAACCTTTTCCACTTCCTGTACGTTTATTTTGACAAATCTCTCTCCCCAAGCTCCTTTTGTTCCCTCAGTTTCCAGATGCATGATCTCCCATACTATGCTACGCCTTAATGCAGTTTGCTTAGCCTGATGTGTGAACTCACCCTTTGTGGTTTGTAAACCATGGGGTTTGAGTGACGAAGCCTTGTGACGTGTTCAGAAGGCAGGATTAAAACAGTTCATAACTTAGCCGAGAGTGCAGCTTTCTCTGGGCAGAAAGCCACACGTTAGCTTTGAGTGGTATCCCTAGGGCTGTTCTCCAAAGTGCAATTGGTGGGGCCAAGACAAAAATTAAATTTCTTTCCAGTTGAATGCAGTTAATAGGATAGCTCTCCTCTCACATATTTAATCAGCTTCCCCTTTGCAGTCACATTAAAAATACAATCTGGTAACAATTTTTGGAGGTCTCTTAGAACCATAGAGGCCTCGGCTTCTATACCTCCAGTGGGTATTATTGGGTTGGCTGGAGTGATGGGTGTGTTTGTTCTGGTGGGGATTTCAAATTATTTTAATTTCACTTTGAACAGACAATTTTAAAATTAATTATTTTAAGCAGGTGGTGCAGATTCATTAGGCTTGGGGTGGGAAAAGTAACAGCCAGCCCCACAGCTAGTCCCTGTATCGCTTAATAGTATGGACTCATTCATGGAGCTTATTCTCAGCCTACAATCATGTTTTTATTGTGGAGAAATTTCCTACGGTTGATAGTTTATAAACAGTCATATATGCCCTATACCATGTACTCTTGCCTTACGCTGATATTGTACAATGTGATGCATCAGATCAACCAAGCAGACCTGACAAGAGTACTGTATGTTCCACTCCCTTCTCCCTAGATCTTTATCTATTAAACCATGTGCTGCAAAAACTTTTAAAACTCTCTTGGATCAGTGATTCCCATTACATCTCTCTCTTGTTAGCAACTCCTTAAAGAAACTGTGCTTTTTCCTGTTCTCATGAAGAACCTTCTTTAAGGGGTTCCTGAAAGGAGCTACATGTGCACCCCTGCCTGCTCCTGATCTGGATTGCTGCCCTATACATTATGTAGGTAACAGCTGCGACAGCAGCAACAGCAACAACCACCTGTGCATATGCCCACACAATCTGTTTAGCACCTACCAAGCTTTAATGAAAACCACTTGCTTAGGGGAAGTTTAGATGGCTGCAGTTCAGAGCAAATGTAAGATAATCATTGTGTAATAACTACTACAACTAATTACAATTAGAACATCACGTTAGTTCCTGTGATCTTACTTATTCAAGTGATACCTAAGAAAGGAAGGCTGACGGGACTGAGAGGAGCAACAGGATTAACAATACCCTTATCTCACGGATATGATTTGCTACGTTTTTAAAGCTTGGATATGGGCAGAGTCTGTTTTTCAAACATACCATGAATAGCTATTTTTGTGAGGAGGGCAACTCTCCAATATTGATAATTGTCATTAATTTGTGAAGCATTAACTGAATGAAGCATCCTTTCTATCACCCCAATTCCTAACTTATTTGGATATGCTATATTAGCATTCATAGGCTAAGATTTAAACAATTTATATTCTGAAAAATTCAAAAATTAATAGACAGTATTTGTACACAGAAACATCAGTTTAATAGACCATTAGGAGGGCATGTCTGTCACGCCTGAATATCCATTAAATCCAAACTTATGTCACTTATGTAATTATGCAAATGATATAATTTGTCATTTGTGTCAGTTCATGTCATTAGGTTTATCACATAACGATGTAAATTCACACAAATCATGCTAATTTACCTAAATCATCTGCACTACTTCGGGTAAAGTTCTGTCCGTTGTCTCCAAAGTCCACTAAACTGGGGCACGATAAATTGAGGTTTCACTGTATTAGGACCAGAACTCTTCATTAGCATAGATGTTCAGCAAAGTGGAAGAAAAGGGATTGGAGGTATTGAACCAATAAAATCTAATTTGGTAAGAAGTTGGAGAGTCCTAGGGGAACGGTTAGATGCAGCAGCTGCACTTCACAACATAGCCCTCTGTATAGTGGGGCAATGTCACTTGCGTTTCCTGTAAATGCCTCTGAAACTGTGGTGGCTTTGAAATTTTGTACTCTGGGAGAACTTTTATTTTATTCTTTTATCATTAATGTAATGTATTTTTTTCCCACAATCCGTAGCATCTTTGATGCAGGAGAATCAGAGACTGTTATGGCTATGATTACATTTAATGGATTCATAGACTATCAAGGTCACACACTCCATTTTACATTTTCCAGGAAACATTACTGCATGCAGGATGTGCCATTAAAATAGACCTGGCAAAGTACATGTTTTCTTGGCTATCATCATTTTTAAGTGATGACCACTTAATTAGAATGTAATTTTCAGAAGATCAGAGACAATTTAGTATTGGACTCAATTACAGAATCCTATTAATGGGATTTTTTAAGTATTTTCTTTTCTTCTTCTGGCATCTTCATGCTGTAGGAAGCTTAATATTTTTGTATTTAACTCCCAGAAGCTCTTTAGTCAATGTGTACATTTTTCTCCTTATTTGTATCCTTGTTACAGAATGTGTTTATCATGTTTAAAGGACTATACTGTAAATCACACAGGCTACAATTTTCATTGTAGGAAACTAAAATACAAAGTGAATAGCAACAAGAAGGAACCCTGGCAAACAAAACTGGCTTCCCTTGAAGAGTGGAAAAGCTGGCTTTGTCTCAACTTCTTCAGCCAGGATTCCTTCCCTTTTTTGTTTGTCAGGAAGAAATGTGAGAGTCCTAAAGTTGGACAAAGTGGTTTTAGGGAATAATGCCAGTTGCGTCAAGCTTTCCCTTATAAATGGTCCTGGGAATCTTTCCTGCCTTTTTGATACATTTGGAATAAATCCATTTGTTGGCATTCAGGACCAGATCCTCAGCTGGAGTACAGTAATAATATAGTGGTTAAGCTAAAAAAAAAACAGTTTCTGCCACCTGCAAAGCTGACTCCTATAATTCTCTTCTTGGCTGTCCAAGATACTAATTATATTTTTCTCCCTCAGGTATTTGCAGCTAAAGTACTTAACTTTGTCCTGCCAAACTTGTCTCTGGGATCCATTGATCCAAATGTCATTTCCCGGAATAAGAAAGAGGTGAGAATTGTATTGCCCTGAAAATCAGTGTCATGCCTGTGATGGTTTGGCTCTTGCCTCTACAGTATGACTAGATCAGAAGTGAGCAATTCTGTCTTGATGCAAATCGAGGAAATATGACTAGAGGGAATAGAACATGCCTCCAGTGCATAGAAAGAGAGAATCAAGTACTGAAAGGGCCTCCTCTCCAGATATTTGCATCAGCATTCTGATGTAAGGAAGAGAGATTCCAGAAAGGATTGTCTGTACTGGTTGATGGATTTGTGTCAAACCTGCTCTGAGGTACATCTGATTCTACCAGTCTGCGTGACCTGCCAGCTTCCATTTGTACAAGAGATAAGTATTATGATGAGAATGGGGGAAAAGCATAAGATGAATCACTGCAACAATAATGTTTTTGCCATGGCTCTTTTGAAGGAAGAAAAGATTTGGTGTTTAGCTTCCCGTAGAAGCATTACAATACATTTAAATGATTTAGGTCTCTATGACACAGGATGTGATTGGCAGATGTTAATTTATACATACATTTTTACTTATTCATCAATTTTGTATGCTGCTGCAAGTACAAGACTCTCAGCAGCTAACCAAATATAAAAATATATGCAAATTTTAAAAATGTCAATTTGGGATTTTCAGTAGTCAAAAAGTATAGTGAATACACATTCTTATTGGCCAATTCTTTTCTGACTGTTTTTTAAAATTTTATTCTACTGACTAGGTAAATCCTGTTATAAAGATTAATATAAGCTGATGAAATTCTGATGTTGGTAATGTTAAGAGGTGGTATGACATCCATGTAGAAACAGAATGTCAGCAATGCAGCAAGCATAAAATGCTAAAACATGTTCATCTAATATGTTTAATATACACATTTAATGTGAAGGTCAACATAACAGTTTCAGGGGGAATAAGTTAAAGCACTTTTTCTGGGGATATTATCCCAGACTTAGTCGTATAAATAAATCTGTCTTGAAGCCTATACCAGACAGCATTCTGTTGATGTGGAATAAAAAAAGGCAAAGAGCATTCAGTCTCCCTACAAATTAGCTGGAGAGCAAAGGTGGAAGAGAGAGGGACAGTTAGAGAAGATGCCACAAGCAAGATAAAAATACTCCAAAGGAAGAATTTGGCTTGCAGGCTGGAGGTTTCCCATCTTGAGCAGCTCATTGCCAGTCCACTTGTGGCAACTAAATTTTCCTGCAGTTTACATGAACCATAGTCCATGTAGCAGAAATAAATAATCTCTGCTATACAACACAACTGTCATAACTATCTAGGAACTCAGAAACAATATCACATCAGCTGTTTCTTCTTGGGATCAGTGAGTAGAGATCATTAAATAGAAATTAGTCCTTTTTTTTTTTTTTTTAAACAATCATCTCATAGGCTCTGACAGTAGCCACTGTGAGGTTGGACAAGGAGGACAGATATCCAGCTCTGCTCCATCCTCAACTACAGAAGTTCATTGGATGACTTTGGTCCAGCCGCTTTCTCAGCCCAGTCTACCTCACAAGGTGGTTATTGAGAAGAGGGAGCTACCTGGAGCTCCTGAATGAAAAGCAGAAGACTGATTGATTGATTGATTGATTGATTGATTGATTGATTGATTACATACGATGACTCACATAGTGACAAATTCTGCCCTTACATACATGACATCTGATAGAAGAACATCAGTTGTCGGGTTTGCATTGTGATGTCAAGATGCACATTTTCTCACTTGTCCCCTTCCTCTATTTTTCTCCTGAAAACACCTTTATATTACCAGATTCAACTCCTTCAGAATATTAGTTTGGAACAGCATGGGAAGTTGTCAGATGAGCCTCGTGGCATTGCTTATAAAAGGTCAAGCTGTGCATTTTTCTACACCATTATCAGCAGCAGAGTTTAGGTGAACTATTACGCAAAAATGCCCAAGAAATTATATATGCAGTCGGAGCCGAACTGTGTAGTGAAATGCTTTTGGACGTGTCTTTTAAGTGGATTAGTAAATGAACTATTGTGTTTCTACTGGCCATTCACCTTGCAGATATCCTCCTGGAACTATGCAGCTTTTGAGACATTTAAGAACTAAAGTTTGACCTTGGTTTCAATGCTGTGTTCTTTTATCTGCTACTTTTAGTTTTCTTCTAAAAAGCAATACGTAAAAAGGTCTGCAGTTTGACAGAAATAAGTCTCCAGCTTCATAATATCACCCACATTCAACACTGCAGAATACAAGTTCAGATTGTGCTGGGAACAGCCACTATTTACATGTTGAATATATTCATCTGGCAGACCAATTTCTAGTCTCTATTAATATCATTGGGATATTCTCCAAGAATTTCCTGATTTGTTTGTGTTCATAGCAGTTTGGTTTTTCAAAGCAGGAACGGAAATGTAGATGTATTTGAGACATTTTGGGTTTTTTTCTTCTTGCTAGTTAAATCAGATACGTAATTCCAAACCTCATTTTTTTTTGTTATGTGCTGGAGAAGTCCTGATGCCTCCAGAATGTCTTAGGCTACCACTCATGAGATTCAAATGAGGTGGAACTCCTTGGAGTTGTAGTGCGACACATTAGGAGGACACTAGGCCAAAAAAGGCTTTATAAAAGAATAAGGTGCTTGATAAGGCAGCATTGCTGTAGGATAGGATTATTTTTGGTCTTGCCTACCTTAGGGAGCCAGCTCTTTTATTGTAGTTTTAGTTGTAAAATACTCATAGTTCCAGATTGTGATTATATTTCCATTTGAATCAAGATACATACAGAAATGGGCATTCTGAATCAAACCTTCTTCCCCACACTGATAGTCTCTTCTTGGTTGGAGAAATATCTGAAAAACGTTATTATTACACCAAACTTGAAGATGGAAGCTAAGTTGGGAAACAATCAAGACATAGTGTCTGCACTGTAAATGTAAGGTGGAATAATTTAAGACATTATGCTTAGCTTTTTATATCACAGCAACCCATCTTACTACTGCATCAGTCATGGCATGATATAGAATAGGCACTGTATATATAGCAACCACACAGGAGCAGCTAAGATGATACCCTAAAAAGAGTTTCATTTGTTAGAGTATAATACAGCACATCTATCAGACAGTTAAATAATATTAAAAATTAATTTATACTTTCTACAAAAAAGTATTACAAAATCCTGTAATACTGAATAATGTCCCCCATGATTGGAAATAGGAAGCTTTATGAAAATTTAGACAAATTATTATGACACCAAAGATTATCAAAATCATGGTAAAGATCTCTTGATCCTCTTTTGGTTACATACAATAAAACAAAGATAGTGCATCATCTTCTGTTTATTTATTTATTCAATTTATACATGTGTGACTGGGCAGCTCACAAAATTAAAAACAAAAAAACCCCTCCACATAAATAACAAAAAACAACAGTAACAAAAACAAGTAAAAAATAATTAACACAATTAAAAACAAGTAACCATAAAATGCGGGAGAGTATCAACCAACAGCTTACAAACAATATAGCTATCTCACTAGCTCCATACCTCCATGGGTTTGCCACAGAGGTTCTGAGTCGTCGTAGAAAGCTAATGCTACATTTGCAGTCTTAAATTCAAGACAACTCTCATAATCTACAGTCAGTGCAGCCCAAGGGATGTAACTGCTTTGGATTTGCGGGGCAAATATGGCCTGATGTAACTGAAGGGCATCAGACAGAAAAAGGGTTTTATGTCTCAAAAGTGATGATAGGACTTAAAAAAAGGATCTTAGAAACTTCCAAAACAAGATCTGAGAGTATTCTATGAAATGAAAATAATAAAATGTATATAAGTTACAGTATATTAAAGGCTAGATGGAACACAATATTCCTACATACACACATGTATACATACATATATGCACACATACATGTATATAAATTACGCTCTACACTGGTCATACTACACTTGGGGTAGTAATTTGTCAATGTATGCTGAAGGCAGAACCTATACAACTTACAATATTTTCAAACAACTATGATTGTAACAAATACTGGGATACAGTTTAGCAGTGTCAGCCTTACCAGATAGACCAGACAGGAGACACTACCAGATAATTCTACTTTATTGTAAAACTACATTAACAGAAACTTGCAAGTCTGAAAGTACAATTCTCCCACAGTCACCTTTACAGCCCAAGAACTTAGAGAGGGTCCCTTTTTAGCCTCTCGCTCCACCCACTACGCAGCTGCGGGCTATGCTCTCTCTTATCTGACCATGCCCTAGGCAGCATCTCTTTGCCACATCTCTCAAAGTCATTCCCACATACCATTACCAACAGCTACCTTATTTAGCGACCGTCCGCAAATACGACAGTCTTTTTTTAAAAAAATCATTTTCTGACCAATGCATGCATTTACACCCAGATTTCATGCACCTAAAAACAAAAGCCTTAAGATCCAGTTAGTTTCAGGCAGCAGCACAGCCTGCTGGAGGGTTCTAATCAACAATAAGTCACAGAGCTGAGCTTGTTAACTTGCAGCTATTACTTTTTAGGGAAGCACTGCAAAGAGAAGCAGCTCAGGAAGAGATAGCTTGTTTAAGCAATCTATCTGCCCTGCGAGGGGGCAAAAAAAGGGGGGGAATGGGTCGGGCACAGGACACTGTCTGAGGGCAGCAACCGTGATCTTTGTAGCGTGTCTCTCTCTTTCTCTCACAGAGCCATGTTTTTGCTTTGCAACCATTTAGTTTCTGATTTAAGGAACTGATTGTAGTTGCTAAATGAGGAGAGGGTATAATGCATATGAGGTTAGAGAAAGCACAAAAGTGCTATATAAATTCTAAGACTCATTAGCATTTCCAGGTCAAGAAGCAGGATTATATTAGTGCTAGGGTTATTGTATCCAGACTGAAAAAATTAGGGTGGCTGCCAGATAGTAACAAAGAGTCAGCATTATTTGCTATCATCTAGTGATAGCCAGATTTTTATAGCTCAGATATGGCAATCCTCTCTGAGCAAAAATTAAAAGGTAATCTAAAAAGAAATACAGGAGTCATCCAAAAAAAGTGGTAATAGCAATGAAACCACACCAACCAAGTATGTTCTTTTGTGATTAAACTTGTAATTACCCAAAAAAGAATCCAAACAGGTCATAACAGAAATTTTACTGCAAATTTCAACTTACTGGGCTGCAGCAGCGAAAAAAGCCTATTGGATATTAAAAGAAACTCTTGTAAATAAATTCATGGATCGTACAGTTACATTTAAAATGTAGTGCAGTTCTGATTGTCTCATTCTTAAATATAAATGTCAGGGTTAAATAATAGTAAATAACTACAGGTAGTCCTCATTTAGCTTCCACAATTGGGACCAGCAACTCAGTCATTAAGCAAAACAGTCACTAAGTGAAACCATGACTGTGCTTATAATCTTACTTCAGCTTTCTTTTGCTTTACAGACCTGTGAAGGTCATAAATGTGAGGATTCATTGCAAAGTTACTTTTTCATCACCGTTACAACTGCGGTTACTGTACAAGGCAGTCACTAAACGACTGCCTGTACTGTGACTAGGTCTCAGGCAGAGGTTACACATAGGTAGTACTCAATCCTTTTGGTCAGAAACACTGAGGACCTCCTGTATACAAAGCAGGGTATTACTATTAAGTGATGGTCCCTTTCATTCTTCTCAATATTCTGCCTTTAAAGGAGGTTGAAGGTGAAGGGAAGCTGTTTTTCTAAAAAAAATTTAAGTCGTGTAAAAAACTTCAATGAAAAATCTGGACTGTGTTCATTAATAGTTTGCAAAGGTGGGCAAAAAGATATTTAGTGAAATTAATGAATGCAGGCTAAATACTGGAAAAGAAGCAATGTAGGTAGAAAGAAAGTCCTTTAAGATTTACTTGTTTTTTCTTGCCTGCCTCCCTCCCTAGTTAAAATCATCATCCACAGCCTTCCTCCAAAAGCTCTCAATTTGCAACACCTTGCTGACAATTTCAAACACGTTCATATTTATAGTAAATCAGAAATGGAAAACCAAAGTGTAATCTCTGCCCATTTTTCTTCTATTCTTTCACTGTGTCCTTTGCTTGGACAGTCATGTCAGGTACCTGGATCAGTAACTTTCAAAAGTAGTACATCTGTTTGTTGGGTCTCTTGTATTTCTAGGAATTTTTAAAATATCATGATAATATAGGGTTAAGGGTTAAAAACAAACAAACAAAAAATCCATTAGGCCATCTCTGGCATTTGTGGCTTTGCATGGGGGTGGTAAAGGGAGTACGTCATACCAATTTATCTATATTATTTCACTCTGTGGGAAGGGAACGTCTGTCAATTCAACCACCCACTCCTTTGTGATTTTCTTCTTTCAAGAGTGCTTCAACTGTTGCTTTTTAGTAAGAGAAACAGCTTGGAGCTGTGTTGCCTGTGTGTGTGAGATGCTGTGGCACAGCACCAAACAACTGGGCAGTTTTTAGGCTGGAGCTAGTTGCTAAGTAGCCAGAAGAACCCAGTACTTTTGTTTAAATTGGAGAAGAAAAGGCAAATGGATTTGGGTGAAAATATCAGGGTACACCAGGCTGCTACAAAAGAGAATGTACAGTTAGACACACTTTTTCTGTTAGCATCATTTTCTTTCTCCCCTGCCCCTTTCCTGACAGCATGTATGCAAAATCAAGTCTTTCTAAACCAAAATTTCCTCCCTTCCTCATCAGATGAGAAGGGAAGGAAGGAACAAGTGTGTATCATATAATTTAAACACACAAAAACAAATTGTGGATGTAACATACTGAGCACAGCAATTCTCTTACATTAACCTTAGTTTAGGGGTGGTTGCTGTTGTTCTTGTTACTAATTTGATAAAATGTAAGTTGATATTATGTGGGTTAGATTTGGAATATGTGGAAACAAAATGACATGGAGCAAATGAAAATACATGCATTGCAACATCACAAAACATTTTGTCACTTGATGTCATCCTAATTAGGTGCAGAAACCTATGGAATTTTGCAAATTTAAGTGTTTATAGATGTTGATTGTTTAATTACATTGTTATTGCCTCTGTAGTGAATGAGCAAGGCCCCACTCACCCCTGCAGTGCATGGCAGGTCCTTCCCCACCCTCTATCCAATTTATTCAGACTTGCAAAACCTGGGCTACATAAAGCCCAGATAAGCAAGCTTGCAGCCAGATAGCCAGTACACATATCCCAAATGCCTGATCAGAGAAACAAGAGAGTTTGAGCCTCAGTGGGCAGAAGGAGAAGGAAGAAATTTGCCCAGGTTTGCCCAGCAGGTTCTCCTTAGCCTGCCATTGCTGCCGGGAGATGTAAAAAAGAAGCAGATGACCTGTGAGAGGACTAGGGAGAATGAACACGTGGAAGAGAAAAACGTAAGCAAGCTAGTTTCCAGAAGAAGCAGGGAGCTAAGCAAGGCTCCTCTAGGAGGGAATTAAGTAAGAGTGAAGCTAACCTCGGGGCCTGGAGGTGAGGAAGGGTGCTGAATTAGAGTCAAGAAAATATTCAATGAGCAGAGAATAAAGGCTACTTAAGTGGGGGGTACTGTAGGTGAAGAGAGTGGACTGCCTGGGGCCTGTAGTAAGAGCAGAGCTAAAGGTCTCTGGAAGCTGATCCATGACAGACATCTCTAGGAAGTCAACAGGATCTAAGAGGAAGTGCTCTTAGAACTTTGAAGGTTGCAGTCTGTGAGAGACAGGAATTAGTCAGGACAAGCTAGCTGGGGAAATCCCTCCTCTGAGATATGGTATAAGTTGTAGGCAAGGATTTATAATCAAATTCCTTTTTTCAAGGTCTGCTTTATGGATATTGGTATTTTGAATGTGTATCCTAATTATTTCAAGGAATTTAACTTTGATTTTTGTAACATACCTTTATTGTCTTTTTGCAGGTTCCATGCTTATTTTTTTCCATCTAAGTTATCTAAACTTGAGATCCTGCCTGTTTGGGACCAGTCTCCCCATAGCACTCTATGGGAGATTTATGTTTCAAGTACTGTTTGAGATCTTATCAGCATTAAATGCTTTATTCCACCCTATTGTAATTGTTCGGATATTTGACTCTCTCAGTTTTTATTTTTCTTACTGTTAATCAAACTAAACTTTAAGCCATCATATTGGAGCTTCTGTTTCATCTCTTCTAAAGAAAATTGTTCTATGGCCACATGCCTAAAAGCTTATAGGTGATGCTGCAGGGTTTAATTTATTAATGTTATTAATATTAATATGCCAGATTTAGTGGTGACTAAGTTGGTCAGGCTGTAAGAGCCTGATCTCTCTCACAAGCTGGTGTTAAAGGAGAGGCATCCCTCTAGGAAGATGGGTGGTGCAGCAGAAAGTACTGCATAACACATAACTGCAGTGCACCATGCATGGTGGAGAGGCAGAGGCCAAACAGCATGGTCTGGAGAGTCAAGTCCCCTTCTGCCACTGGCCAGTGCGCACTCATCTTCTGGTTATTCACAATAGTCTGTGTATTGTGAATTGCTTTGACATAGTTTTCCGGCAGATTTGAACACACGTATAAAATAAGAGTAAAAATTAAGTTTCAAATCTGAGTTCAAAAGGGGAGCCCATTTGTAACCTAACCAAATGTGAAAGGTGTGTGACTATTAAAATGTATCATCTTTAAAAGTATGGACTTCTTCCAAGATGGCAGAGAAAATGCTTATCAGAAGCTGATTATTTGCATCCTAAAATGTCTGAAATGCTGTTTTACTCCAACAGGTTGAATCTTACCGTTTAGACCCTCTGGTCTATCATGGAGGCATGAAAGTCTCCTTTGTCATTCAGCTGCTGAATACCATTGCCAAAATAGAGCGTTCTCTCCCTAAACTGATTCTCCCCATCTTGGTGCTCCATGGTTCACTGGACAAACTCTGCGACATCAGAGGCTCTTACTTCTTGATGGATACTGCCCCAAGTCAGGATAAAACACTCAAGGTCACCTTACCTCATTTTTGCAGGATCAAACAATTATTGTTTGTGAAGTTGTGCTGTGTTCAGTGATTTAAATGTATTAGTCTAAGCAAATGTAAAAAAAAAATTACCTAGATTAAGACATGCTTTAGCATTTCAGGTACTGAGCAGGCCCAGATGAGATAAACTTTGGGATGAGATTCAAGTAGAACTTTCAATTTCTTCCATTCACCATAGTTCAAAGCCCATTTACTAGGATGAGCAATCCCACTGATTTTAGTAGGACTTAAACATGAAATACATTCATTCAAAAAATAGCAAGTTGCAATGGCTACTTGTAAAGATATCACTTTTTTAAAGATGCCCAGAGGAATATCTAAAATGTAAAGAAGCAAGATGCATTTCAGGAAGGTAGTGTTAATTAATCAATTTTTTTTAGCACATGAATTTTCAATCAGAAGTAGATATAAGGACCCCCCCCCAAAAAAAACCCCACATGGAAATAGCATAGGACCATAGCATCAAAAAGGATTATTTAAAATGCTGGATCCATCCCCTTGGCTATTTCGATTACCAACAGATAATTTCCAGTCTCTACTGGAGCAGCTGGATACACTGAAAACATCATAGAGAATATATTTAGGAATTTTCCTTAGGATTTCTCTTGTGTTTAAAACTCTGAAACATGATTAGAAGTTCCTTATGCCCTTTGAATTTTAATGTAAGCCATCCTTTACTATTTACAAGAAATCTATTTATAGATTTGAGTTGGTAGAACAATGCACAGTTCTGTTTTTTAATTGATACAGTAGTACTTGAAATTTAAATTATAAAAATGGTTCATTTTTTACTTACTATCAGAGGAGATTAGCAAAGATAGGGTCTACTTGAAATTTGGGAATAAGAGATTTATATAAGAAGACAGGGTGATACTATAACTGAGTGGATGAACAAATATTAAATGTATTCTGTAGATGAGGAACAGAATCAGGTTATTTTTCATAGAGTCACTGGGGACAGAGGGTTATGGTGATTCTACTGACTTATGGTAAATGGGCATTCTAGGCAGGAAATGCCAAATCAAGAGAGAAAATTATGGAGATATTAGAAAAAACAGTGTTTGTGGGTGGAGATAAATAAAGGGCACAGGAGTAAAACATATAGAAGAAAGGAATGGAAAATGTTGTAGATGCAACATGCTGTATTTTTCCGTCAATAAGACGCCCCCATGTACAAGACGACCCCCACTTTTCCAACCCAAAATTAAGGAATCAATATTTTAAAGATAGTGCAGAACACA